CCCGCCCCCTCCATCCATTCCCACCCAAAACCTCACTCCTACCCGCCCACTGCCCTCGGCACTGGAAGAGGCACTGGGCAACCACCCGTTCCGCCCTGGGGACACAGGCAACGGATCAGAGGACTGGGAGGCAAAGAACCACGGTGGGAAACCCACCAGCTCCCCTGTCCCTGAACGAAGCTTCCTGCCCACCGCAAAGGTACCAGCATGCTATGCTTGGAAGCAGAAAAATGGGGAGGGCTGCTGTTCCTCAAGTCCTTCGCTGCTCGTGTGAGTGGAGATGGGAGGAAAGAGCATCTCACCCCATTTTCCAATCTGCATGTGTGGATGCCCACACGTGTGTGGTTCCGGCTGTTTTCACAGTGCTGTGTTGTATAACAAATCACTGGCGCTCCTGGGGTGAGCAGCAGTGTGTCCGCTCGGGTTTGTTGCTGTCTCTTGGTAGTGTGGGCTCGGAATTGCGATGTGGCACTTTAAGGCTGTGTTAATGAATAGCTAGCTCTGGGTCACATCCAGTCATTGCTTGATATTATCCCAGAAAGCCTTGAACATGGAAATGACTCCTTGGTTTAGCAGGAAAAGTGGACTGGCCGAGGGATTTATTGAAATGAAAAATTTACTGAAAACGAAGTGATAACGTTATCCATGGCAGCATTTCCCACATCACAGCGCCATTTCCCACGGCACGAGCCAACCGCACCTCCCTGAGGTGTGATACTCAGAAATTTCTGGCCAACATCCAGCTACATGAGAAACGAAGCCAGAGCTTGTAGAAATCTCCAAATTTACTATTAAAAGATTAAGGACGTTTTTCTTGGATGTCAGGAAATTGAACAGTGATCTTCTCAAAAGGCTTATTTCCAATTAATTATTCTTTACTCAAAGACTGTCTTGGAAGAAGCAAGACCTGAGGAAGGCACAGAGCTTTGGTCCCGGGGGAAAACAGTATTCCTTTGTTCCCAGCCATGGGCCGGGCAGGGCACTGGGAAAGTTGGGGGAGAAGGTGGCCAGTAGCACCTCACCAGGGGCTTTTATTACCCCTCCCACTGGAGCTCTGTGCAGGGAGGAAGCAGTCTCTCTGCTCCCTGGGAGCCAGTCTGTAGGAGGCTGGATGAACCCAGCCACGGGGCCACATCCTTCTCTGTAGGTGGCCACCACTGACACGGGCAGTAGCTTTCCTCAGTAAGTTTGTTTCTGCAGAGGCTGAGCCCCTACCTTGTGCCTTTTGGTCCGAGGGGCAGAAGGGAGCATGGCTGGGCCTTACAGAGCTTCACCACCCAAAGGGTGAACACTACCCAGGCAGGACTTTGCTGTAAAGTAGGCACCAGCCATGCACCGGGGAGACGTTTGTTCCAATGGGAAGCTGAGGACACCTCAGGGCTTATGAGCTGAGCTTTGAGAGATGTGATCTGTGAGGATGGAGAAAAGGGCATCTCTGGTGCAGGGGACATGTGGATGGCAAGAAAGGACAGCAAGGAGCCAGGCTGCCTGGGCCTGAGTCCTGTCTCCGCTGCTCACGACTGGTGACTTTGGGCAGGAATCACTCGTGTGTCTGAGTCTGGGCCTTCCAGTCTGTAAAAGGGGGATGCTAACAGTACCTACCTGCTAAGAGAGTTAAGTAAGTAATGCAGGAAAGCTGAAAACATCCAGGAAGAGAGGCCCAGGAAGGCATTCTGAGGTGATAGCGAGGAGGAACCCAGGCACATGGGTGTCCGGTAGACACTAGCTGTGGGTATTAATCCAGGTATGAGTAAATTTGACGAATCTGCCGGAGTGGACAAGAAGTCATCTCAGGAAACTTCGAGGCTGTGTCAGAATTCCAGATGGGACACTTTCTGTGTCCCCTCCATTTAAATGTCTTAAGTGACATCAAAGCCACAGCTGCCACTGACATGAAGGCCAGCGGCTACTATTCGGCTGCTTCATCCTGCCCTGTGTCAGCACTGTGGCCCTCGTCCCACCTGCCCTACCTGGTCTCCTCCTCCCCACGTGCCCAGAAAGCCATCATCAGTGCTGCAACAGGTGACAACACATCCACACAGTCCAGCTGCCAGCAGGCCTCAGGTAGCAGAAACAGGTGTCTGTGTCAGCTTGACACTTGTGCCAACCACACCAGCACCTGCCTGAGGGAGGTTATGAGGGCCAGACCTACCCCCACACACCATCTGCTATGCCTACCACACTAGAGAGTCATTCATCTAGTCAGTAAACACACGTTCACTGAGCACCTATGCCAGAAACAGTGTTGGCCACTGGAAACCACCGCTAGGTGGGCAGCCACAGTCCCTGCACGTGACAGATAGCCTGGTGGGAAAGAAAGATAAGTTGGCAGGTAATGGCTGTGGCATTGGTGGACTTGTTGGATGTGCAGGTGCTATAATGAAATGTGGAGATGGAAGGCACTAAGACCTGGATAAGCAAAGCAGAAGAAAGAAAGAGCATGTGCAAAGGCCCCAGATGAAACAGCCTGGCATTTTAGAGACTAAAGTCAAGCAGTGTAAGGAGGCCAGAAGGAGTAAAGGGCGAGGTTGAAAAAGAAGGCAGAGAAATCCTTGAAGGGGCTTGGGGTCCAAGCTGGGGGGCTAATTAGTCAATGGGGACCTCTCAAAGGGCTTTGGGTAGGCTTATGACCAGACTGGGTGGGCATGTCTTGCCCAACATGCTCCAATAGGCTCGAGTGAAGCAGACAGGTTGGCATGCTTACTGGTCCTCACCCTGTGGCCTCTGGACACTGCCTCCGGATTATGGAGAGATTGCCCTTAAAGGGAGGGGACACTGGGACACTAGATGGTCTCCATGGCCACTGAGAGTCTCGCAAGCATATCCTTGGAGTGACGTGGCTGATGGTACCCCAGCCTAGGCTCTGGTTCAAGTGGCTGATTCCGTAGACTACTCAGTAGTTTCTGTGGCCAATGGACTTCTTGCCTCTGTGTTGAAGGTCACACCCAGCACCTCCGCAGGGTGGATGGGCAGACTGGGCAGGCTGGGCATGTGCATGGAGTGAATGTGCATGGAGTGAACTTGCATGTGTGGAGATGCACCATGACCAGCCTCTCCCATCCCTACCCTCACCTCACGCGAGTCTCTCTTCGACTAACCCCTGTAGACATTTTGCCCAAGTCCACAGCCTCCACGGGGCCCTGGCGTGTCCACCATCTCCAAACCTGTCATGGTCCACCAGGAGCCCAATTTCATCTACAGACCAGCTGTGAAGTCTGAGGTCCTGGTAAGCCCTGTTGGGTCCTCTCCAGGGTGTTTCTAGAGACTCAAGCCAGGGCCACCTCGCCTGGGTTCTGCTGTCCCTGGAGAGAGTGAGAGTGAGGTCATCTCATCCTTTCTCACTGACCAGGAGATGAGTTTATGTGTGTGGGGTGGGTGGTGACCTGCCCCACGGAATCCGTTCCCTGCTGGGCCACATAGCCTGGGGCTGCACCTACAAGTGATGGTGACCACAGCTGAGCTTTAGTGAAAGCCGCCCTGTGCCAGGCTCTGGGTGCGTGGTCTCATTTAACCCACACAGCAGTCCACTGACCTGGCTTCTCGTGTCATCCTGCTTAACACTAGAAAGAACTGGGGTTAAGGTGGTTGCCCAAGGACCTCCTGGACTTACTGCTTTTTTACTTTTTTCCCAAGTATTGGGAATTGAACCCAGGGCCTTCACATTGAGCTACTTCCCCAGCCCTTTGGATTTATTTGTTTACTTTTTAAATCCTGAGACAGAGTCTTGTGAAGGCTGGGCTGGAACATGTGATCCTCCTGCCTGAGCCTCCCAGAGTGTTGGGATCACAGCCACCGCACCTGATTTGGGTTTAATGCTTGCTCCCAAGTCCTTCGGACTCCAAAGCCATGCTCTTACCCACCTTGCCCATCCCTTTAGAGAGCCCATTTTCCCCGGCCTCTGCCCCCAGGCCTGTGTGGCATGGTGTAGAACACCCGTAGGTGGGGAACTGGCCCAGGCAGATCCCCTTCCCTCTCTGCAGTTAACTTCTCCCTCCCTCGCCTGGGGAGTCTGGGGAGTGGTCTCAGAGATGTGGGGAGGTCAGCACCCCAGGCCTCCCAGCTGAGGGAGCTGGAAACAGAGCCAAAGCAGCCTTTTTAGTCCCCCTTCTAGGAAACCCTATCTAAATGTCAGGATGGGACAGCTCTGCTTATTTTGAGCTTTAGTGTCCCGGCTGCTCCCCAGAAAGCACAGGTCATGCTCCCGAAACAGCCTGCTCATGTGTCCGGCGCATTCTCTAGTTAATGACAGGGTGGTATCTGCTTAACTGAGTGGGCAGCTGCTGAGCTAGGGTTGGGGGGTCGGCAAGGCAGAGAGAGCACCCCTAAATCACTCCGCGTGTGTCAGGAAGAACAGGGCAGCCGCAGGCTGGCAGGCACAAGGCCTGGCACCAGGGGGCAGATGAGACCTATTTTTAATGTGTGGTGGGGAACTTTTTTTTGTTTGTTTGCTTCCCCTCTGGCAGCCTCAGGAGATGTTGAAGAGGATGGTGGTTTATCAGACAGCATTCCGACAAGTAAAACGCTCCCCATCGTGTGCCTGGTCCTCCCTGCCACCCGTCCTCCCGCACTGTGCCTGGCTTCTTTTTCCCTAGGGGTGCTGGCCGGTTCTGAGGCTGCCCGAGCGCCATCTGCCAGAGAGCTCCAGGCCACAGCAGGCCTCTTGCTCTGGCAGGGGTTATTGGGGGGGGGGTCCTATCAGATCCTGTGCTCAAGCCAAGAAAGCAGCAGGTTCACGCCGCTTGCTCTAAGTTATGCAGGCAGAAGGAGCCCTCAGGAGGAAGTGGCCACCTGGCTGGCTCCTCCATCTGCCCAGGGTGAAGCAGTCCACGCTGTATCTAGGTGGTGTTGGGCATGCAGCCACCAATCCTCCCTACCTCTGGCTGTGTGTCAGAGCCAGCCACTGCACTGGCTGTTTCATGACCAGTGAAAGGCAGCCCCATGATAGAGGGGAACATGAAGAGCAGCCCTGGCTTCTCCAGCCCCCCAACTCACAGGCGGATGTGACATAGGAGGGGAGCAACAGGGGTCTGCAAAAGAGGCTGGTCCCGGCCCAGGGCCAGGAGTGACAGGCAACAACTAGTCCTCAGAAGGCAAGTGATGCCAAGCACTGTTTTTAAATGTGCTGTGTATATTCGCTCACTTGATCTTTACAACTACTCTGGGAGGCAGTTGCTATTTTCTTCCTCATTTTATAGATGAGACACAAAAGCAGAGCTTCAAAATGTGCCGTGATGGCGCAGCTAGTCTCACACACTGGATTTGAATCCAGGAGGCTGGGCTCTGCAGTCTGCTTTTGTTGCTTTGTTTTGTTTTGTTTTTTGTACTGGGGATCAAACTCATCTTTATGCATGCAAGGCAGGCGGTGGCACCACTGTCCTTGAATGCTCTGTCACCTGCCTCTCAAAGCTGTCCCACTGCCAAATAGCCATTGCATCGGAGAGTCTGGTGGTTTGGAACAGCTCAAAACAGGGAGAGAAGTGCCAGAAGGGAGAAGTCTGGGCACCAGGCATAGTGTCAAAGCCCACTGACTGGACGGCCTGAGGCACGAATGTCACCTGGCTGGGCCCAGGAGTGATGGCTGGAGCCCCCCTTGAAGGCCAGCCAGCTGCAATGGCTCATAGTCTCTGACTCATACAAGACTCAAGACCTGCTCTCTGCCCCGTCCCTGAAAACACATCCTCAGGGTCAAGCCCAAGGTGCCCAGCCCCGCAGATGGAGCAGCCAGGGATAGGCAGGCCCCGCTCATAGGATTGTGGCCATGCACCTCTGTCACATGGATTTGCAGCATGTGGCTAATGCCCACATCCCCAACCTGGTGTAGGCCAAAGCCCCCATGGGGCTGGGCCCTGGAGGTGAAGGGCAGTTAGGAGGGGTGGCAGGTGGATGCCCAGGGAACCGTCTGCTGATATTTGGCCTTTATCTTGTGACCAGAGCCTGCTACATGCTGGGTTTCACCTGCAGCCTCCCTAAAACCCTGATCACAGGCTCTGGGGGATGCTTGATGTGACTCAGGGAACTGCGAGCTGAGCCGTCACAGGGCCCTGGGCTGAGCCACGGCTTTACTGTCCTCGCTCAGTCTCAGCATCCCAGGCCACAGGGACGCTGCTCTCTGCAAGTGCCTCTGAGGAAGGCTGGTCCTGGCTCTGGTCCCTTCTCTCCACTGCCTTGTTTCTAAATACTGGGGACGTTGTCCCCACAGCAACTGCTTCAGGCCAGGGCCCCAGAGCCATGTGTCCCCTCTCCTCTCTCAGCCAAAGGACCAACCTGGGGGCCCTGATGCTGTAGAGTAGCATTGCATGAGAACAGTTCCAGGCACCAGGCAGCATGGCCTGGGGCTGGGGCAGGGCACTGGTGGAGGGCATGGCCTCCTCCCTGGGCACTCGGAGGAGGTGAGGTAGGGCTGAAAGGCTGGTGCTGGGGTGAGACTTTCCGGAGGGCAGAGGCCCAGTTTTAGACACCAGCAGGGTCCTGTAGCCACACCGTCTGCCCACTGGATCATGCAGGGGACAGGACCAAGCCCCACCAAAGGCTTCTGTAGTCCCCACCTGCCCCCGTGCAGGGTGCTCTACCTCTTGGCACCAGCAACCTCCCCGCGCCCTAGCCCAGCCGTACTCCCCCCACTTCTGACCCATTCACCCTCTTCCTTCTCTGCCCTGGCCTGCAAAGGTCTCTGCTCTGTTATCCAAAAGCCCTCCCTTTGCTTCCAGGATTTCCGGAAATATGAGGAAGGCTTTGACCCCTACTCCATGGTAAGAGGTAACTCCCTGCCCCAGAGCGAGCTCTGGGATAGGGGTGTTTGTGTGTGGTGGGGGTGGCGTTACAGGGCGCTTGGTGATGGTAAATTCTGGGTAACGTGGGTCTCATGAGCCCCACAGATACCCCAGCCACTCTTTCCTGAGCTGGTTCCTTCCAAACGTCCTTCTAGGGAGAAATGAATGGCGGGGGAAGGTGGCGCTATCTACAGGGCACGCATCATGCTCTGTGTTTCCAAGGCTGGTCCTCACAGCAATCCTGAAGGAGTGGATTGGGGCCTGTGAGGCTCTGTCTGCGTGTGACCCGTCGTCCCCAGGGCCTGGGGACACTCCCCACCTGGGCAGACTCAAAGCCTCTCCCCTCTCTCCCCAGTTCACCCCAGAGCAGATCTTAGGGAAGGATGTTCGGCTCCTGCGCATCAAGAAGGTACTGGGGCGCGCGGTGAGAGCAGGCAGGCCTCCACCCTTCTCTGCCCCTGCCCTGCCACCTTGGCTCCCTGCCTCCCCTACTTCCAGGGCAGCTGCAGTGAGACCCCCTCAGCTCCCCTCTCCCCTTCCCTGTGTGGGCCGCACACTGGGCCCTGCCGGTCACCCGAGCCCCTCGTTCTCCACAGCCCTGTTCAGAGGCTCTTTATGCCCAGGCGCCTGGGCTGCTGTTTACCTGTCCCCTCAGACACCCTTTCCTCTAACCAGGAGGGCTCCTTAGACCTGGCCCTGGAAGGTGGTGTGGACTCCCCAGTTGGGAAGGTGGTCGTCTCTGCTGTGTACGAGGGGGGAGCAGCTGAGCGGCATGGTGAGTGGGGACCACTTCTGCCTAGGTTTGGGGACAGTGTGATGGGGTACAAGTCCCCCCAGGGAAGCAGCTGCCCACTTTGGGCGGGGGCAGCTACTAAAGAAACCCAGGCCAGACAGCCCACCATCAATCCAAGCCAGGCTGCTGCCTGAGGACACACCACAGTGCCAGGTCCTGTGTGTGTCCCCCCAAACCGATGCCCTTCAGGGGCTCCCAGGCTAGCGGCAGAAACATGTCCAGAACAGCCAGATACTACCTAACTGTACTGTGCATGAGGGACTGACAGAGGACTCAGGGACAGAGAGGCCCCATGAAGGGGCAGGGAGCAGGAAGGCCCTGAGGAAGGGCAATGTCTGAGCTCAGCCTTAAAACATGAATCACAGGCCACCCGTGGCAGTGCCTGCTTGTAACGAGGCAGGAGGATCGCTATGAGTTTGAGGCCAGCCTGGGCTACATAGTGAGTTTGAGGCCAACCTGAACTACACAGTGAGATCCTGTCTCAAAAAGACAATTGTTATTGATATTATTATTAATGATGAATCAATAACCTTGTGAAAAGAAGAGGGAGGAAGTAACAGCACACAGAAAGAGGAGAAAAGCCACCCAAACCCAACCTGTCCTTTAGGGACGACAGTGCCTAGGGAACTAACCATATGTTGGTGGTGCTAGTCTGAGCGCCTGGCATGCACACACCCCTGTGTCTGAGGGTTCCAGCACACCCCAGTAGAGATGTTATAATCCTTCCCATTTTGCAGCTTAGGAAACTGAGGCACAAGAAGTCAAAGTACTTCTTCTAGGTTCTTGGAGGCAGTAAAAGGTGGAGGCAGAACTTGAATTCAGACCAAGTGGCTTTCCTGCCAGTGCAAGTGCCACCTCTGCCTGAGTGCTCGGCTGCCTCACCCCTCCCAGAGGCCCCCACTCCCCGTGCCCTTCTCAAGGCTTTACCCCTTTGCCCCCTTTTCAACAGAAGCAGTCCCTGCTGGCGCGTGACGTTTCGCCAATACCAGGCTCGGTATCTTGCTTCAGAAGCTCCTCCCCTTCCCCTGTCAGACAGTGCCAGAAACTCCGCTATTGCTGATTTCTTCCGCCCTATTTGGGGGATCCCCTGGCCCTTGCCTTCCCAGGCTGGAGTGGGAATCCTGACTGGACCCCCCCAGAGCAGCCCTGGGCTGGAGCCGCCCCCTCCCACAGAAGGGAATGGGGAGGGATGGAGGTGCTGGGTTATGGTGTCACAGAGGAGTGGGAAACTGTGCACAATCTGTCCACTTAGCCACTCAGAGCTCTGACAAGTCCTGTTTAGCTTATAATTCAATTCTTCCCCAAATTGTTAAGATCACAGGACAGCTGACCCAGGGACATCTTTTAACACCAGTCACTCAGTCAACAAACACCTACCGAGCTCCTGTGTTTTGCTAGATGCTACGTGAAATGCTAGGGATACAGAAGCAGTGAACTGAAAAGACAACTCCTGCCCTTATGGCACGGACCACATGGTGGGAGGAGCCACCAGTACCACGTCTTAAAAATGCAGTTAAGAATACAGATTGTATGCTGTGCAGGACGAGACCAGGGCACTGGGAGAGAAGACTAGAAGGAGCTGCTTTTGATTAAATGGAGTCAGGCAAGCGCTCCCTGTGCAGGAGGTGTTCATACCAGACCCAGGAGGTGGGGGAGGAGTATGTGTGCAGACTATGGACAGGGACAAGCTGGAGTGACCTGGAGCAGGACAGCACAGCTGGCCACTGTGGCTACAGAGCCGACTCGAATCTGTCAGCTGCCCCTTCTGTGGTAATCGGGGCCCAGCCAGGAACTGTAGCCATGAGTCCTTGTTAGTGTCCCTACGCTTCTGAGCCAGGGAGAGGGTGTGATTGACCAGGTGCAGTGTTTCCCTCCTGCTTTCAGAGCCCAGGGCCTCTGCTGTGCCCACAGCGCCTCTCCCTTGCACGTCCCTGGCCAGGCACATGACCCACACAGCCCTGTAGCCACTCAGCCCCATTGCTCTGCAGGTGGCCTTGTGAAGGGGGATGAGATCATGGCGATCAATGGCAAGATCGTGACGGACTATACCCTGGCCGAGGCAGAGGCCGCCCTGCAGAAGGCCTGGAATCAGGGCGGGGTAAGGCCCAGCCCCTTCCTCCCCTCCCTCTCCTACCTGCCTCAGCCCCTGCCCTCTGCAGCCAGGCCGTGAAGTTGGGTGCCCCATCCCAGGGTGGGTATCTAAGATCCAGACAACTTCCGGGTTCTCAGCCCAAGGACTGAATCTGACGGCAGTGGCACAAATGCAGACTCCAGGAGACTGGTCTTGGCAGTGCACCCAAGAAAAAGGCATAGGGTCTTCTCTAAGGGCACACTGAATAGGAATGAAGTGCTGGGGGGTACCAGAAAGCATTAACAGAAGTAGAGAGCCCAGGATGAAGGAGGGGCTGGTGGTAGCCAGCTCTGGGTGCATTAGATCAGGACCATGAAAGATCTCCCACAGGCTGTGTACTGCACCACCTGAGGGGGTGCCCTCCTAGAGACCACAGTGTAAACGGGGCTCATTCATGTTGTGCAGTGCACAACCTGTGCAAATGTATGCGGGCAGCTGAGCCTGAGGTATTAAGTTCAGTACTGAGGATGCTGACCAGATGGGCCTGGGACCCACATGAAGGGATGTGGAGAAGAGAAGACGTACAGGTAACACAATGGCTGTCTTTGATTATCTGAAGGGCTGCCTTAGAGCAGAGGGAGCAGAAGTGCTCTCTGATTCTGGGGGGACAGAGCTGGATTGGATGGAAGGTGGCCCTTGGGAGAGAGATTTCAGTTCACTTTCGGAGCTATCACATGGTAGGTGGGCCAGTGCTATTTCAGGTACTTTTCAGAGGCTATATGCAGGCCCAGAATGGACACTGATGGGCCAGCCAAGGAGGCGGAGATGCCTTTGAGGGGCCTCAGGAGTTAGGATCAGAAAGGGCGGACAGAGCCCCCTTGGGCACACGCCTCAGAATTGCCTGGGGAGCGTGTTAGAAACACCAGGACCACCCCAGACTTGCGGGAACCAAGTCCAAGCGTCTACGCCTTTTACAGATTCGCTCAGGTGATTCCACGGGTGCCTGCCACCTGGCCCTGGTCCAGAGAGGAGCAGGGGGACCTAACACCATCTGTGGGCCTCATGCCCCTGTCTCTTTGCTGGAAAGCCTTGGAAAGCCTTGGAGACTAGAAATGGCCCCAGAGCCCAGGACCCCTCAGTGCGGCCCCTGCCCTGGCAGAAGGACTCCAGCCCTATCTGTGTCCACTTCCTCGCGGGAAGCAGGCACAGCCGGCCGAGTGAGCCGCGGGCACAGGGGTGGCGATGGAGATGCAACCTCCACAGTGCGTGGTTTCTCCCCGCAGGACTGGATTGACCTCGTGGTCGCCGTCTGCCCCCCCAAGGAGTACGACGACGAGCTGTAAGTGTGCGGACACCTGGCTGCTTTCTCCACTGCCTCCTGGCCACCCTGTCCCAGCCTTCCCCAGCCCAGGCCCAGGCCCTCTGCTGTTCACAGTCATGGGTCCCAGAACACCCTGGGCCAGAGAAGCCCCAGAACCAATCACTGTCCCCAGCAGTGTCAGAGCCACCCCAGGAGGCGGTCACCCAGGGAAACGGAAGCTCAGGGTCTCAGACCAAGTACACAATCCTCGATTCCCCACTCAGAACTGTATCCCTGGCACCTCTGCCAGGTAATGATTTCTGTGTCCCTGTCACTCCTGCAAGACCGTCCTGGTGTCTGATTGTTTGCTCGTGCTGTGTCTCCAGGCAGCCAGGCCACTGGCTCTGGTCCCCACACTGGGCTCTGCAGGGAGCCTCGGCCTGGTCCTGATTCCCTGTGTCTGTCTGCGTCTTTCTCTGTCCTCCCTGCCTCCCTCTGATCTCTCCCCAGCTACCCCGACCTCCCCCTTCACACATACCCCTGCTTGCCTCCTGGCTCTCTCCCTGCTTCTTCCTCCTTGGCATCCTGCATGCTTTCATATCTCTCTCTGTGGCTCTGTCTGTCTGTCTGTCTGTCTGTCTTCCTGCCTCTGTGGAGTCTCACCTCTGTCCCCAGCTCTGTCCCACCACTCACACGCTCACTGTCTGTCACAACCGTGCCTGTCCTCCTGCCCAGCAGAGCCCAACTTCCCCCACCCGTCTTGCTCCTGATGTTCCACCCAGGGCCTAGGCAGGACCCAAGACAGGAGGCAATAGCAGGGAGAGGCCAGGTGGAGCTGTGCCCAGGAGTAACCGAGTCCTTTTTGTTTCCTGCTCCGCTCTGTGTGTAGCTCTTCTCTTCCCTCCTCTGCAGCCGAAAGCCCCCAGCCGGTCCGAAAGCTCCTTGAAGCCGGTGCTCTCGTGTACAGACAGGGGTTTCTCCTGCAGCTGGAGCCCACGGTGAATAGGCAGGTGGCCGCAGGCCATCTGTCCATGCCACATGTGGTGGCCACATGCTGCCCATGCTGCCGGCGGGTTCTTTGGACTAGTATCTGGCAGGGACACGAAGCACCACCCAGTCTGGAGTGCTGGTTTGGGATGCGGGTGTCCTGACTGCCCTTGTGAATGGGCTCAGGTCTCCACAGGGGCACCTAGTGAGCCAGGGAGAGCCCTGATCTCTGTTCTCTGTTGGCCTACCTGATGCTCAAGCCAGGCATCTGGGCTGGGAGAGCCCACAGGAGTCCAGCCTGAATGTCCCCCGAGGGGTGTCCTCAGCCACATGTGCCTCCCTGTCCCCTGGGTGCCACCCTGCTGGAGCTCCTGCTCCACCTGGCCCAGGCTCGGGCAGAGCCAGGCCTGTTACGAGGTCTTCAAGGCTGGTCCAAAGAACTAGGGGTGATGGATTCGCATTGCTCATGTCCTGTCGTGGCCTCAACCCAAGCTCTCCTCTGCCTCTTCCCTCCCTTGATCAGGACTCTTATCTGTGGGACACATGGTGGAGCTCAGCTTTGGGATGTGGATTCCTCCCTGTGCTGGCTGGCTGTGGAACTGTGTTGGATGTGGCCTGAAGCCCACAGATGGCACCTGGGGCAGACCCAAGCCTGGACTCTTACAAATTGGCCTTTCTCTCACAAGTTTTCCAAAACATCCGGGCCTTTAGCTCCCAGGACAGTTGGCCTACTGAACTATGGCTCCTGGGGTGGCCTACGTGGCCCTCTGTTTTCTGTCACTTGCTCTTCTAAGGGACCCTGCTCCTCTTCCTCAGAGTCCCCTCAGCTCCCCTCCTAGAATCCTTTCTGTTTTCTCCCTGCCTCCTGTGTGCTGTGGCCATGGCTGGTGTGTAGCTGCTTGGGCCACACCAAGGGGGTTGCTGTGTGGTTGGCAGGGCCTTGGGCTTCTAGGAAAGGGACGCCCAGTGTGGGGTCTCACCCAGGGCTGTGTCACTCACAAGGCCTACACCTGCCTTGTCCGTTTCTTCTTCCTCATAGGACTTTCTTCTGAAGTCCCGGGAGAGAAAACAATTTCACCCCTAGAAAATGTGAGCCCCAGACCTACCCCTTCAACATGAAGCCTGCAGTCAGTCTTGGAAGTCTGCTATCAGGTGTCCCTGAAACCCAGTGCGGCACCCAGGAACTTCCAGCCCTCTGGCCCAGAGCTGGGGCCAATTTGCTGAAGACCAGCACAGAAGGGAGGGAGCAGCCTGTCGTTGTGGCCCGCAGCTCTGGCCTCTTCCAGCTCTGGAGACTCCTCCCTCGAGCCTCATATAGGACCCCAGCATCCTCTCTCCACCAGCCATCCATCTAGCCCGTCTCCTGCTGTAACTGCTGCTGCAAACCGTACTCTGAGCTCATTGATAAAATAAATATGTTTCTTTTCCAGACTATAGGAATGAATTCAAGTCTGTCAAATAAAGAAATCCTAAGGTTTTGGCCCCTATCCAAGGACAAGAAGCAGGTCCCAGTGCTGTGACCTGGGTCTGATGTGAGGTGATGAAATCCCTTAGCTGGCTTGGAGCAGAGAGCTGAGGCAGCAAGAAGCCAGGTGGGAGGGGCTTATGGGTGTCCTTAGTAGTGAAAGAGCAGGAAAAGAAGCCCAGGTGGCAGGGCCTTTGCTTTATTCCCGAAGCAGGAAGTGTCACCTAGAGGTGTGGATTCCCTCAGTCTCCCTCAAGGACGGCATGCCCACAGCTATATTTCCTGGGGTCGTTCGTCCAGGCAGGATGGAGGGAGAGGGTGCAAGGAGTCCACTCTTCATGAGATGACCTCAAGCAGAACCTCAGGGAGGAAGAAAGGAGAGGAAGCAGGAGGGGATCTCCCCAAGGCCCCAGCAGGGGCAAGTCTGGGGCTCATGGTTACAGGGACCTGGACCTCTAGCTCCAGGGAAAAATAGTGTGGCAAATCCCAGGGACTCCATGCAAATCCAAGATGAGAAAACATGACATCCCCGAGAGTTGGAAATGAAAGATGGTTTTGATCTCATGTGAACTGGAGGGCCAGCTCTGTCCATCCCTTGGTGGCAGCCTCATAGCCTCTTAGAGTCTTCAGCCACCCTCACATCTCTGTTGCCAGCTCCCTGGGCTTCTGCAGAGCTCAGCTTGGACATGCTATTAAAATCACTGCCTAGCAGGGCATGGTGGCACATACCTGTAAACCCAGGCCTACGGGAGGCTGAGGCAGGACTGCAAGTCCAAGGCCAGCATGGGTCACTTAGCAAGACCCAGTCTCAAAATAAAACTTAAAAACAAAACAAAACAAAAACACTGGAATGTAGCTCAGTGTGAAGGCCCTGGGTTCAATTCCTAGAACCACAATCATCATCATCGTCATCGATGCCTATCCTAGGTGACCTTTCAGCTACACTTCCACTGCCCCCTGGTTCAGTTCAATTGGCCTGATTCACCTAAATTCAGGAATCAACCCCAGGGCCATTCGCCTGTGGCCAGCAGGGTATGTGGGCTACACTGTCATTAAGGAAATCAATTCCCTTTAGAAAGTTGTTCCTATGGATCCAAAGTACTCGGCAGATTCACTGGCATTAATTACGTAAGAAGTAGAAAGATCCTCCAGGCGTGCTGGTGCATTCCTGTCATCCCAGAACTCTTGAGAGGCTGAAGCAAAAAGATCCAAAGTGAAAGCCCAGCACAGACAATTTAACAACTCAGTGGGATGCTGTCTCCAAAAACATAACGAAATAAGAGGCAGAGGGCTGTAACTCAGTGTCAAGGCCCTGGGTTCAATCCCTGGTATTGTTTTTAAAAAAGAAGAGGGATTCAGAAAATTTGTATAAAGTTGGGGGATCTAAATCAATTCCTGACCTGCTCTGGAGGCCAGGTGGAGTTCCCTGAAGCTGGAGGCCACAGGAAGACTGAGTCAGACATGGATATCACAGCAGAGACCAAGACAGAGCACTTAAGAAGGAAATGCAGCCAGGCCACTCATGGTCCATGTGCACCTGTCCCTCACCATGCAAGGTGGACCCATCGCTTTCATCTCCAAGCTCTAACCTGCTCTCTGCAGCTGCCAACAGCTCATCAAATCCAACTAGCCCTGACCCTTGTTGCCACCCTTAGAGTGTAACCCCCATGCCTAGATGTCGAGGCCAAGGAGGACGTGACTGGAGAGGGGCTCCACTGCACCCCACAGTGGAAACACAACCCTAAGAGGCTGGGAACTCAAGGATCTCTCTGACTCTGAGCTCTTGGCATTCTGTCCCTCTCATTGAAGTAGCTTCCCACAGCGTCCCCAGGGTCGAGGAACTGGCAGCTTTGAGCCTCTCACCTCTGCCTCTGGCAGTTGGGGTGAAAGTGTATGGCCTCCGCTTTTGAGATGCTCCCTGCGGGCCTGTGTGGGCTGGGAAGCTCATTCCCACCCGACCCCAGCCAAATTCTCAAGTCTCACATTTGGATAAGAATCTGTTTCCAGAGCCGAGAGCCCTGTTCTCTTCTGCCCTGTGGTGACACTTCCCTCATCCCTGGGGCCCAGGCTGGCCCAGCTTCTGTGAGAATTGAAGAGGCAGGCGTGGACCTCTGGAGAGGGCAGGTGGGGAGGGCAGAGGGCCACAGCTGTCCTCCTCAGGCCTGAGGTTTGCAGCCTGGGCCTCCTCATCCCCGCTGCTGGCCAGTGTAGCAATGACTGCTACCAACTACTGAGTGTCTCTGACTTAGGGTGAATCTACTGTGATTTTTTTTTTTTCCTTCACAGAGGTACAAAGGCAACAGACATTCATTAGAAACTTCACTTCAAATTTTTAATTTTGATAATTTCTCTGGCTAGCATCCTATGCAGTGTGATATACTCTGACAATCCTGAGCAGTGTAAACCACAGCTCCTAGTCAACCACAGGCTCCCCAGTGGAAACAACCCATGTTCCAGTGTGCACTGTGTTGCTAAGCATTGTTAATTTGTGGGTTAGGTGTCTTGAGTGCATGTTTGGCTTATAATATTTCCAACTTATGATGGTGCCATATTTTGCATCTAGAACGTCCTCCGAAGGCCTGTGTGATAAGGCTTAGTGGCCAGCTTGGTGCTATTGAAGATGGTGGGAACTCTCAGAAGTGGGGCCCAGTGGGAGGTGTTAGGTCTTTGGGGGTGTGTCCTTGAAGGGCACTGTGGGTGCTTTCCTCTCTTCGGCTTCTAGCCATGAGGTGAAGGCCCTTCCACAATGTGCTCCCACCATGACATGATGCCTCCCCACAGGCTCAGGAGCAGCATAGCCAATGGTCATGGATTGAAACCTCCAACTCGGTGAGCCGAGTGTAACTTTCCTACTTGTAAGGTGATTATCTCAGGTATTTTGTTACTGTAATGGAAAGTCAACTAACTGATGAGTTTAGCAAGACCGTGAATATTGAACCTCCTGGCTTACCTGGGTTGCGTTGAGTGGAGAGGAGTGTCTTGGGATGCATATAAAATTAATAATACAGTTAGTGTATGTTAGTAACAAAACCTCCTTTTCTTTGTTATTTTTCTTGCAATGTTTTTAAAAAGAAGGTGACATAAAACTAGTGGCATATTTGACCTTGCTTTTGTGAAACTAATGCATCGATGTCTCCCTCAATCAAAGTGGTTGCAATTCTCAGTGCGTTCTCAAGGTTACTTGTCAGAAATTGTTGATCTAATTTTACTCTTCATGTGCTCATCCTTGAAAGTAGTTGTTCACAAATGTACTTACTGCCAAAAAGCAATGATTTATATACAAAGCACGACTGTGAAGGAAGGAATATTTTTCTTTAGGAAGACAGGTTTTATGAAACTCTAGAGAGAGACACAATCAAGTTCTTCTTTAAATTGGATGTCTACAACTCTACATATTCCATGTGAAATTTTATTCATATATATAATATATTTATATTTATTGAAAACGGGTTCACAAATATACTTCAAAAAACTGATGATTTTTTTTCTTAAAACCTATTCTCAAAGTCCTGCTTCAAAATGGACAGAAAGGCCACATATCTTTTACTGTTCACAGGACTATGTTTTGTTTTTTTTACCAATGTCAAAATTCACAAAATTATTTGCCATAACCTAAGCTTGCTATAATTTAAGTTTTATTTTGAAAGCAGTCACAATTTGAAACATAGCATAGAGAAGTTAATTTTTATCTTTTTTCTTTTTTGATACCAGGGATTGAACTCGGGACCTTGCACTTGTGAGGCAGGCGGCAGAACCACTGAGCCAAATCCCCGGCCCTAGTTAATTTTTATCTTGAAGACACCTGTCTAAGTCACTTAAATGAGCAGTCAAATCCAAGTAAATGCTAAATCTATGAGCACTTTTCATCTTCAAGTTCTGGCACAAATTTTCCTTATGATTCCATAAACAATTTGGTTTCATCTCTCAAATCATAAAATCTTTTCAACATTTTACCCCAATTCAGCCACCTTACTTCAGAAAAGTAAATGATATCCCCATAATCAGTATCCATACTTTTAAGGAACTCCTAGAATTATGACCCAGTCCCTTTAGACCTTGTAAAATTCAAAGCTTTAATGGCAATTTGCATGACATTATCCATTTTTAAAGCTTTCACACATAAATTTTCTTGATTTATTATGCAGCAATATTTCATCAAATGTGAATTGTTGGTGTCAAGCGCATCACCTTCTGTTAACGTTATAGGTACCCTCCCCTTTTTAACCAACCACCTTTAGCACACCATCCACAGCTATACCAGATCTGGTGACATGTGACAAAAGTTAAAGAAAATTGCTCTAATGTGATTTTCACTCCTTGAAATTCACAAGATTTAGCTGTGTCTTTTAATGGCACCAAAAGAGCCATTTGTTATGGTTTATGCCTAGATGTCCCCCCAAAGCCTCATGTGCTCATAGGCGAGGCTTTTGAAAGCTGATTGGATTATAGGGGCAGTTAGGAGATGGGATTCGGTAGCAGAAGACCCGGAAGGGTTCGAGTCCCTTCCCAGCTCCTCCTGAGCTCTCTCTGCCATGACATGAGCAGCTTTCT